TTTATGTACAGAAAAATGGAATACACTTCAAAATTACCTCTCTTGCAGTTTGTACTTGGAGTTTATTGGGTTTGTTTAAAGGGACATCCTGTCCTGTGGATCTGGATCACTTAGTTCAGCTGTCATGAATATAATCTGACTGGTGATGTATGTATGATTTCTTTTGGTGACAATAAAAGGTAAAAATGTTACTTGTCAGCTCTCAACGTACTCTCAGTGTACTTTGTGTGTGTCATAAAATCTGTTCTTAAGTATCTCCTTAAAATACATAAAAACCCAAGCTGAAAACCTCAACAGAATGCCCATGATAGGCCCTGGTTGCATTTCTTGTGTTTTTATTTTTTGTCTTTCAGAATTGCTTTCATGTAATTGGCAGAACTTCACTTAGTTCATGTGACAAAATGTAACCTTCCTAAAGTTCAGTGTTAAGGAGCTAGATGACTTTTGAGGTCCCTTTTAACCCAAACCATTCTATAAGTCCCTGATTCTAATAGTGGAAATGGTTCCAGTGTATAGAGTAATAGTGTAGTTTTGCAAGTCATACCCATGTGCTTGACTTCACTAGCATGAGTAATTCCATGAAAGTCAGCGCGATTATGATAATGATGCCATTAAGCTTGGTGTAAGTTTTAGAACATCAGAACCTCAGGTAGCTTTCACGTACACATTGGGTGAAGGCCCACATCATTCCTTAGCTCATTCTAAACACGTTCGTTGGCCACAGGCCATTAAAAAGTAGATTTTTGTTACAGTTACTTAATTTACATAGGGTGTAATAGCATATTTTAAGTGTTTTTGTAGCGGGAAGTAGATTTTAATTTGTTTCATTTATATTTCTCATTTGTATATTACGTGGTTTCTCAATTATTCCTGTAATGCCAAATGCCTTCCAGATAAAAAAGAAGACAAGGTCTTTCCTCTGACATGTCCTTAAGCTAAATTGATGTGTGCATTGTCACTGTATCTCGCACTTATCTTGTGGCCCCACTTGTAGTCTGACACCGTGATTCAGTTATTAAGCCCTTTGCCTTCATCATTAACATGTTGTTTGCTCCAGAGCAGGAAGGACTGGCATATTCCGTGTGTTACGAATTAAGTTCATATGCAGCATGATTAGGCCAACTTGCTGTTTTCTCCTCCCCACTCCTTCCAATCTTTGTTGTAATTATTATTATTCATATGAAAATACCAGGTTGCCAACATAAAAACAAACAGATGTTTGTGTATGTAAGAGGAGAACACAACTGGGTCATGTAGAAGGGAAGTTGAGACTGTTAAGCTCCTATAACTTGACTATTAAGATAGTGTACACTAGAACACATGTATTTCTCAACTAAAGTATGGTGTTTATGTACTTATTAGTGATTTTTTTTTTTATTTTTTGTTTTGAAGCCTTATGATGCCTCTAAAGCAAGCATTAAATAACAGAAGAACATTAAATAACAAATTTATCCTCCAGCCAGAAGGCAGAATTTAAGGCCTTTGCTCTATCCTCTTAACTGCTTCCTCAGTGCACTGCAGAAACGAGTCCCCAGACTCTCACACTGAGGTGCCTCAAGGCTTCTTCCATTTTCTCCTTAGTTACACAGCAATAGCTTCTCCCAGTCCCCCAGTTCAGCTCAATGCTGTTTTTGAGAGACAGCTGTAAAACTCTTACTGGAGTGAAATCACTTCCTGCATTCATTTGCAAGAGCAATAGATTTTTATTTGACTGCTGAAGTGTGCTGTTTAAGACTTAACCCACAGTTTTAATCACTATGTATTTGTCTAGCTTTCAGTCAGTTTCTACTGACTTTAAAGTAACTTGTTGTACTAATCCCTCTGTTAAATAGGAGTTTGCTTTTCCTGTGACTTTTTCATTACTTTACTTTGGGAAGCAGAACCTCAGGGTGTAGGGGAAGAAAAAGTCTGAGTCTAGGCAAAAGATCCTGGAAGTCTGTGTTCAGGACTAGACAAGATGTTACTGCACCTGATGTGTCAATTCTAAGACTTCTGTTGGAAAACCGACCACCTAAATTACTATTTTCCTTTTTTTTTTTAATGCAATAGGATATTACTGACAGCTAAACATTGTTGTGAGGTGGGTGGTGAGGCACTGGCACAGGTTGTCCGAAGAAGGGATGAATGCCCCGTTCCTGGCAGTGTTCAAGGCCAGGTTGGACAGAGCCTAGGGTGAAATGGTCTAGTGTGAGGTGTCCCTGCCCATGCCAGGGGGTTGGAAGTGGATGATCTTAAGGTCCTTTCCAACCCAAACCATTATGTGGTTTTACAATTCTTTAATTAAGTCAGCTTTATTTTGAGTTGGCAAACCAGTGTAACAGCTTTAATATGATTATTAAATAATGCAGGGAAGGTTAACCTGTTTCCTTGAAGGAGGGTTTGAGGCTTTAAGATATGCTGGGAATGCAGGAACATGCAAGTGTCCTCACAGAAATTGTGACAAACTGCGCAAAAGGTATGGATTTACTAGTAGGGATAGATTTATCTGAACTTAGACCACCAGATTGTTTAGATCATCACTGTTTCTCCCTAAATATCAGGAGTTATGAGGCTAAATTATAGCTGTGGTTAAAATACAAAGTAATTGCAATGTGGTATATGAATTTTGTGAATGGGGAGAAGAGGTTGGGTGGCTTTTGGGTTTGTTTTGGTTTTCTAACCGAAGTAAATGAGCTCCTCATGGGCTCATTTTCATCTTGATTTTTCTGTTGTGTGTTGATGTATTTATACATATGACTGTGCTTTAACATTATCCATGTGACTTTCTTCACATTCATAAAATACTTAAATTCTCTCACTTTGCAGCATACTAAGTGCTCAGAGCAGGAATATAAGCAGCTACCTAACTCTCCTAGTTTTAGCTAGGAAAACAAATGCTATAAGTGGTCTGGCTCACCCACTTCTGTGTACCTAGAAACTTTGTGGTCCTGGCTTTTGCCTCTCACTGTGCCAGCAACAGTTCCAGTCACCTCTGTTCCATGTCACTCGCACTAACACACGTGAGCCTCATCACTTCTGTGCTTCAATATAATTAATTGTCTTGCTCATTCATAACCTTCTTTTTTGGCTGTGAAAGACTAATTGTCCTCTTATGAATTTGGTCCTCTTGAAATAACAACTAGAAGGCAAATAAGATGTCCCTGCTCATTGCAGGGGGTTGGACTAGATGACCGTTGAAAGTCCCTTCCAACCTAAACTGTTCTATGATCTCCTTTCTTGTCTAGGTAGGGGCAGTAGCACCTCTGTTTAGGTTGGTGTTAGGCCAAATAGAGCTTTCCCCTGGTACTTGGCAGAACTTTGCAGTAAAAGAGATTGAGAGATGTTTAAGGTCATAGGTACTTTTGCGATCCTCTCACTATGTTTGCTGCAAGATTTACCCGTTTTCTATAGGCAACAGTGTCATTGTTTTAACAATTGAACATAAAAATAGCTTCAGTAGAACTGTTGGGGCAGAAAGCATAATTAATGGTGAACACTGTTTCCCTTTCTCTGAAGTAAAACAGGAAAATGCACTCTTTTTTGCAAAGCAGAATAATCCTCACAGGTTGAAATGGGAGGAGGCTGAACCCTTCCATTCAGGTATATGTAATTTGGTGTATTTGGTAGTAGTTATTGTAGCTATTTTGTGTAGAAGGCGAGTCTTTATATGTAGAGGTTGGAGTGGTTTAGAGCATCGTGCAAATACTCCATGAAGAAGTGTCTTCGGAAGAACTTGCTGGGTGTGTAAAGAGCCACTTTCAAGGCATAGCATTGTGGGTGTGCTGTTACATGGAGTGGTGTGTGTTCACAGGGCAGTTTGATTGATCCCCTGCCAATATCTTACAAGTTCTTTTCTTGTTTTCTCAAATGCCTACTTTTGGTAGGCGTGAAAGAGACGTGCATACCTGGAGTACTGCAGTTTCTGGGTCCAAGGTCATGGAATCATAGAATCAACTAGTTTGGACCTTACCTTCTGGATTGACAAATCCTCTTGCAGAGATGGTGAGGACAGAGCAATGGCTGCAAATGTCATGTTAATGCCCTTATTACAGTGGAGGGGGGGTAGCTAGAAGTGCTAAAGGGGAGGTAAAACAAATGCTCTTAGGGGATGCCAAACATGCTCTTGGGAGATGCCATTCAAGGCCAGGTTGGACTGGACTTGGAGCAACATGGTCTAGTGGAAGGTGTCCCTGCCTGTGTCAGGGAGTTGGAACTGGATGAGCTGTAAGATCCTTTCCAACCCAAACCATTCTATGATTCTGTGATGGAGGTGGTGGGAGAAGCACAGCAAAACAGAAGACTTACAAGGGACATAAGGTCAAAAGAGGAGACGAGAGTGCGAGATAGCTGTTGTTTGGGAAGAGCATCCTCCAGCCAAGACTAGAAATTTATGTCAAGATCTTCGCTTGTGTTGCTTCTTCAGCAGTTCCTGCCACTGTAACTTTGCAGTGGTTTGGTTTGGCACTTTTACCCCAAAGCTGTGAGTCAGTGCATAAGGAAAAAGGAAATTTCTTCCACTTGCCAAGTTTCCCAGTATCTGTAGGAGAGACTTCTCTTCTCCAGGTCAGAGGCAGCAAAAAGGGACCCTGCCAGCTGTGCCAAGTCTTTCCTTTTTATCTTGCATAAAGTGTCCAGGTCTTGCTTCAGTTCCTGCAGCTGAATAAGCAGCTCCTTTTGGTACCTACCTGATCACTTTCTCTTCATTAAAACACTTGTTGTGTTTCCTCTTAGGGGGTGGAGGGGGCACATGGGTGGACTTCATGTGTAATTAAGCAAGCACTTAATTAAAAAAAGTTAATTCCTTAAAAGCACTTAGAAAGTCTTCTGAGTAAGAAGTGTTCTGATAAGCACAGGAGTCTGGTTTCCAAATTCCTTATTTTGTGCTTCATTTGTTTACCTTTTTTGCTTTTTCAACTCCCTTTCTGCAGTGTGGCATTTCCCACATGATCCCTGTGCCATTATGAGAACAGAGGTCTGCATGTCTTGCAAAGCAGTGACCACTGTTTCTGACTCTCTTTCAGATGCAAGTATGGACATAATAGCCTATGATGCTTACTCCAGTCCACCGCTTCCGAGATATTGAAAGGAAACCTGAATACCTCCAGCCAGAAAAGTGTGTCCCACCTCCTAGCCACGCTTCCCTGGGAACAATGTGGTTTATTCGAGATGGCTGTGGTATTGCATGTGCTGTTGTTACCTGGATGCTGGTGTTCTATGCCGACTTTGTAGTCCTCCTTGTCATGCTAGTTCCATCAAGAGATTATGTTTATAGTGTCATCAATGGCACACTGTTCAACACCTTGGCTTTCCTCGCTTTGGCTTCACATTTTCGTGCTATGCTGACAGATCCAGTAAGTATATCTCTCTCTGTAATGTCTCGGAAAAAAACAGGCAGTGTTTTTCTTGTCTGCTACATGTTGGGGAACTCAGTTGCTTGAGTGAGTGGCAGATTTAAATAACTTTTGTGTGTCACCCTACAGATTGAGGCTGCTGATGTGGTATGCTAATTTCTCCTCCCACTCAAGTCAGATGCAAAGGACTCAGCTTTAGATTCCCATTGTGCAAGCAGCTCCTCTCTTTTTGCCCTGGGAAGGAGAGTGTTTCTCTCTGACACTTCCTCCCCCCCCCCCAGTAGCAGATCTGGGGTGTGTGTGTGTGTGTGTGTGTATATATGTGGCTTGTCCTGTCTTGACAAACGGGCAAGCTGGAAAAGCTGGTTTTGGTTGTCTGCCTTGGCAAGTATTGCCTCACCGGAAGGGAGCAGGATGTGTATCGGTTTGAAAAGCCATGTTACCATCTCTCATACTAGTGATTTAGTTGAGTGTACTGGACCATGCTGAAATAAAGACTGTGTGAGCATACTAAAGAGCTGACAGTCCTAGGTGAGTGGGAAGCATACAAGTTCTAAGACCCTCTCGGATGTCTCTGTAGGACACTGCTTTTTGAGAGAGCTGTTCTGCTCCTTTCTTGTCTTTCAGCTAGTGAGAAGATAGAGTTTAGTATCACACCACTTACTCTGACTGGCCTGTGATGGTGTAGTTGCTTAATAACCACTGGTGAGTAGGTTCAGCTCAAAACCCCATCTCTGCTAGTCAGTGGAAGGAAAACCAAGCTTAGACTCCTCTTGTGGCCCCTTCCTCCTGAGTGTTCTTGCTGCTGTTGTGAATGGCATGTGCCTCTGATACTCTAATTATTCCTTCCAAACATCATTTGCTACTTGAAACCTTGTTACATGCCATTAGAACTTCAGTGTCATCATTGGTTATTGGTTTCCAGCAATCCCAGAAGCCACAGCACTGCAGAAATGGCTTGCTTTGGGGTAATTTCACGGTTTATAGTAGACTGATGACTTGCACGACACTGCTGCTGGGCAGAACTGTAAGCAGTAGTTGAGGCTCTGAAAGTGCTGGTTGTTGGTCTTTGGTATAGAGGGTTGCAGCAATTTGTTATATAGTTTGTACCCTGGGGGTTCTTTCTTGTTGTTAATTATTGTATATTGTGTAGCTGTAACGCCTGGGGACCTTCAAGTCACTGGAATTATTCTGCAGAGTTAGCAGGAACTCTGCTGAAACAAAAGCTGTATTCTGAAGCAGGTTGGGCAAGCAGTGTTGGAGCAGCAGATACAATCTCTATGCAGAGTAATTGGGAAAAGATATGTGAATTCCTAATATGTGGTAGAATTTGTGTGTGGATGGTGAGAGGCAGTGGGATTCTGATTTTTTTTTAATGAGGCAATCAGCTAAAAAATACAGAGGAGGGAAGATAAAGTGAGGGGGTGCAGCAACATCTGTCAGACAGTGTGAGTCAGGAATGAAAGGTGCTGACGAGACATGGGGAACCAGGGGCATGTCTAGGATCAAAATGAAACAGAAAGCACTGCTGAGGCAAACAAAACCAATTCTAATTATAAATAAGTGAACACCTGAATCCTTCACAATTGATAGCCTGTGGCATGCTTTTCAGGAACTGCTTCCTGTGATGTCTTGCTAAAACATTCCTAAGGTTCTGAGTTTTGCTGCATACAGCTACCTGACAGGAGGATGGAGAAAGGAGGTGGCTGATGTCCCAAGTAACAAGCAATAGGACAAGAGGAAACGGTCTCAAGCTGTAACAGGGGAGGTTTAGACTGGAGCTGAGGAACAGTTCCGTCCCCAGAGGGTGCTCAGGCACTGGAACAGGCTGCCCAGGGCAGGGCTGCAGTCACCATCCCTGCAAGTGTTCACACAGCGTGGAGACGAGGCCTCGGTGCCATGGGTTAGTGGTGGCCTTGGCAGTGCAGGGGAACGGTTGGACTTGATCTGAAGGGCCTTTTCTTGCCTAGTTCATTCTATGGTTCTGCACTAAAGACAGAGCATCTGAGTTGTAGCATTTTGTGGAAATGGGTCTTGGTAATTTTTAAATTGGCTGGGCCTGTTGGGAGGTTTTTGTGGCAAAGCCCAGAGACTGCTCAAGAAAGCCTTATGGTACCAGTTTAATGTGCAGTTCTTTCATTGCTGTGTATTATTCCTGTTGTTGTTGTTAGGTCATACAGATGTGTTAAAAAGAGGCATCAGAAACCTGTTAAAATATTACATCCCTGCTTTTGTTCCAGTATAAAAACCTTGCATCCACAGAGGTGCATTTGTGCCAATGTACCAGTACTGATCTCATACAGCCCATTTCATGACTTTCGAGGGGATTTTGGGGGGGTTTGGGGCAGGGGTGGGGGGGTTTGTGGCTTGGGGGTGTGCATGTATGGGTTTTGGGTGTTTCTTTAGCAAATATACAGTCCTAGAAACTCTGGAAACTCTTGAAGCCAGACTCTAGCAACAGCAATGCATAACCTGTTTAAAGACACATTTTAAAGTGGGAATCGCACAGCCTGAGAATGTTTTACCTAGTCTTATTCAGGTGGGAGGATTCTTAATGTTCACTGCTTGAATGTTAAACCCTCATTTAAATAACAAATACCCCATGGAAGCATAGCTATAAATATATAAGGTGTTTACCAGCAACTCTTAGTGCACACAATGATACTTCAGAAGTAGCTGTTTCTACTGGAATAAAATATCTGCAGCTTCCAGTTTGTGATATGAAGCACTGGCATGATGGATTTATTGATGGATGTGAAGAGAGGGATGAGGATGCTTAAATATTTTAAGGTTACTATAGGATTGCAAAAGACTAATTGCTTAAGTGAGGATTTACTGATGTTTAAACCAAAACTATGTTGAAGTATGTGGTTTCATGAATTAGGACCTCATTTTAATTTCTTTTATTCTTGCTCTTCTTGAAAGAATACTTAGGGAAGTTTTTATTCTTTTCCGTCTCCTCCCATTGTTTTAAGTCATCCTTTTGTTCGTAGCACTTGCAACATTCACAGGTTAAAATCTTCTGGTTTGTTCTGTTTCTTTTCTTTCTGCAGGGTGCTGTACCCAAAGGTAATGCCACAAAGGAGTTCATCGAGAGTTTACAGCTAAAGCCAGGACAGGTGGTTTACAAGTGCCCAAAGTGTTGTAGCATCAAACCTGACAGAGCACATCACTGCAGGTAAAGGCTTTTCTGAGGATTGCTTTTATCAAAACCTCAGGAATTATCCAGTGGGCCTTGATCTTAATTGTTTTTGGTGTCTGAGACTGGAGTTACTGAGTTGAGAGATTGGCATCCAGATTCTGTTGCCTATAGTGCGAGACACTGAAAAAATTCTCAGGCCTTCTCTGGCACATTTTCATCTAGAGCAGCCTGGGGGCACTTCTTGCAAAGTGAGAAGCCCTCAAATGCTACCTTGACTCCAGACCTGTAATTGACATTCCATACCTTTACATGTAAAGGTTACTTAAAAAGAGACATTCTATACCAGAATGCATAGAAAACCATAAAATGTGATGTCTCTCAAAGGTCAGTGTCCTTTCTATGTTTGTTTTTATTCACCTGTTTAACTGTAGGTTCTATTTAGGAGTGAGGTTTCAGTTCAGGTAACTAAACTAAACTAAAGTTCATGTAACTGTGTATCTCTTAAGAGTTCTGACTTGCACATTTCTATTAAGTACTGTTACTTTGTGCTTTGTGATAGATTAGTAGCTACTGATGTATCATGTCCTTTCTTTTTCTGGTAGGATAAACTTCTCTGAAGAGAGTAACTGGTAATAAGCTTTTTACTAGTAAAGGCAGTGAACAAAAAGAATTAACTACTTCTGAAATTCTCTCCTGCTTTTAAAGCAAGTGAACCTGCGTTCCAGTAAGCAATGAGTTTGCACTGGTGTCCTTTCCTTGCTTCCTTCAAAACCAATACATGCTGAGAGAGTTCCTATCAGGCTTACTGCTCATTTGTGCAGGTGTCTTCTGAGGAGTGGAATACATGGTACTGAGCTGAACAAACATGTAATGCTGCTTGCATTTTTCATGTTTATTTTCAGAGCTTTAGTTTGCAAATGGGTTTTTTTGGTGTTTTTTTCTTAATCAAAATCAGGAGTTGGTTTTTCAGCAGGAGCAATACGATCGTGTCTATCACTTATTAATGCTACTGTAAAATCCCCTCTGCCACTTCTTCAATTATGAATGAAACTTTGCATCTAAAATGCTGGCTTGCTGATGCCTTGCAGCCTAACACGAACACAAAGCCTCATCTCCATGGTCCTTTTTAATATGTTTTAAGAAAACTTTGTAGACATTAAGATTTGGGAAACCGATCCACTGAGCACTGGTGCTGTTGAGAATCAAACATCTTCTTTGTGGAGTAGGGGGTTTTATTGTTTTTTCACACATCAGAGTTGTGCATATGCATCAGCAGGAGATCCTGCTAGCTGTATGCCTCAGGGGCCAGGGTGCTTTTTGATCCGTGTGCTATATGGAGTCCCCCATGTCCAGCAAACTACTCCTGACAGCATTTGGAAGCTGGCTGGTTGCGATGGGAGAGAGTGTCTTGAGTATGGGCAATTCCTGGTGCTTATAGTTTTCAGTCTTTGTTTCTGTGACTACTTTTCCCCCAGTTACTTTCATATTTTGCCTGTCATACAACTGTTGTTGGTATGGACACATGGAATAAAACCTCTGAGCCTTAGCTACCTCCTTCATGGAGGTCTTTTTTGGCTCCACTGCTTCAGGTTGTCCCACTGGGGAACTAGGTGCAATTGGAGGGGTTGTTTGGGTATTTCCATGGTTCAGAACCCATGGGAAATGTGTGCACATCTGCACACAGTAAATTAGACCACAGGGAGGCATCCTCCTGCTTCCTTCTGCATCTTCCTGCTTTACACCACCCGCCCTGTCTTTCTTTGGTTTTGTGTTTTAAAACCAGGAATTGGTATTTGTCATATGAAGTATAACATTATCTGACAGATGAGTTGTTTTTACTGTGCCAGCTGATTTCTGTCCCCATGTAGCTTGAAAATAATTCCAAGCTTCTTATCCTAGCAAAACCAGGCTTTTCCTGTTTTCTACCTCACCTGGGGCTGGAAGGTAATAAGTTATCCAGTCTGCCTGAGGAGAAGCAGCTTCTGATCTGGCCCTACACTGGGAGGCTGGGATCTGCCTCTCCAACATTTCTTTTAAGATCAGCGCTATAGCAACTCATTTGTTTGTCAGGCATGGATGTATCCTTGGGGATTATCCCCTCCTGCTTCACAGAGCAAGTGCAAGACTGTTCTGACAGAGAGGTTTTTATTATTTATTCATATGCCCTCATAAGAACATGTTTATGTTTTTGTCTGTTTCCCTTAAGCTTTTGGCTGTTGAAGTTTATTGGTTATATTAAGATCAAAATATCTTTTGTTATAAGAAGAAAACCAACACTAGCAGAGCTTAATGTTGAGATTGTTTGAGTGCTGCCAGAATTGTTCTGGAATGGCTGTTTCCTTTCTTGGTTTGGTTTGGGGTTTTTGTGGTGTTTTCATATTTGATTTCTGTGCTTGTTTGTGCAATGTGGTATCAGGAGACTGCCTTTTGTCTCCTATCATATGAGAAAGCAGCAGAGAAAAAGACTTCCTTTATTATAGGAGTTAAAGCAGTTACTGACTAAGCAAGGGGATGATGTTCACACAGAGTCATAACCTTTGAATTCTTTGACTTGGAGCCACAATGTGCATTCTGGCAAGAGTTTGAATTGAGGTGTTATTAGGCTTATTTTGTCAAGGGCTTTAACACCACATTTTGCCTTGAATGTATATTGTGATATCGGCTTCCTGACTAGCTGTCACAGCTGTTTGCTGCTAGTATGTGGCTTACCTTGATGTCAAGAATCTTTCCTAATGCTTTATTTAACTTTCTTTTCTTCAAGTTCCTGCAAAGGGATAATGTTGGTAAATAAACCTTAGAGTGTTATTAGCAACTCTGAAAAAGGTCTTTATTCATTACGGCTTGTCTAGTGTTTCTGTTTTTTGTTTGGTTTTAATCTATGGACCTATTCACAGACCAAATAGGTTAAATCTAAACTAAATCATAGATATTTTTTCTTCCCTCTGCCTGAATGCATTGTTGAAAGCATGTTGTGGCAGAAGCACTGATGTGAATATTATGTTCAGGTGTCTTACTTGGCATTTGTGTGGTGATTTGGTATTGTATGGTTCATTTTGAACAGACATAGTCAAGTGAGCAAACCAAGAAGATGAACATGATGACTAGTACATTTATTAAAGCTCAGATTTCGCCTCTGATTCTTTCCTTTAATCTCTGTGTGCCCCAAACCCCTCTGAATGTTGTGTTCCTGGAATGAAATGTGCTACAAATAAGGACCTGTATTCTTTCAGTGTTTGCAAGAGGTGTATTCGGAAAATGGACCATCACTGCCCGTGGGTCAATAACTGTGTAGGAGAGAACAACCAGAAGTACTTTGTACTGTTTACAGTAAGTATTTTGCCAGTGGTGTTTGTGGTTGGCCAGTGGGCAGCACTGAAAGGCTGTGTGTAGTCTTTGAAACAGCTCCCAGGGTTGGATTTCTTCCCCCAGGGTTGGATTTCTTCCCCCAGGGTTGGATTTCTTCCCCCAAGGTTGGATTTCTTCCCCCAAGGTTGGATTTCTTCCCCCAAGGTTGGATTTCTTCCCCCAAGGTTGGATTTCTTCCCCCAAGGTTGGATTTCTTCCCCCAAGGTTGGACTTCCAGGGAACTGCGGCAGACTTTGGTTTCAGTAACTAGGGAGCATACACAACAAGGGGGAAAAGGCATCACAGGAAATATTTGCCAGGGTGTTGCGAGGTTTGTGTTGACAGTTGTTCAGCACCTATTTTCAACGTGAGTAGCTTATTGTGGCATTGAGCTCTTTGAGGCGTGGGCGCTGCTTTTAAAACGTGTTGTGCCTGGTAGGGTCCCAGGCCATAGGCAGGGTTCCTAACTGTTGTAGTTATATGAGTACCTGTGTGGGATCATACAATAAGAGCTGTTGCCACATCTTAAGCAAGGAGTGGGAAGTCTGCAGTCTCCTTGGCAAGAATTATCCACCTTTTACTTGCAAGTGATTTATTTTCATACTTGAAAACCAAGGACGTGTTTGACTTTTTGTACTATATCTGTGGCATTACGAGTAAAAAGAGGAGTACAGACTTGAGTACTACATATTTCTGGAGGGGTTGAAATCTGTTTCATCAAAGTGAACTGCAGATACCCTGTGGGTGTAGTGTGAACATTACAAGTCTGGGTTTCAGTGATGCTCTGCTGTATTAATAAATCTTTTGAGACATCTGTAGGTTTGAGGAGGAATGTTCTTATATTACCAACTACGAGGGGAAGATTTTCAGTTAAATGAAAAGGTTTATGTTGTGTGGTTTACTTTGTTAGGATGTGAATTGCAGAACAAAACAAATCCTGTTTCTTTCCCTTGAACAAGGCTTTTTCTCACCATGAGGAATGAGCTAGGTGTTCTAATCCTATCAAAAGGATTTCTGTTTCTGCTAAAACTGACATCTACTTTTAAGCAGGCTGTATTAAACACTTCATGTAGTTGAGAGAAACAAAACAAAGGTTGCTGGAATTGTTCTTGTTTACTTTTGAGACCTGAGGAGGTGAAAGAATGGCAGCACAAAACCAAAATGCTCTCCTAGCACCTTTTACTGCTTCCACAGGGGTTTCTTGTAGCAAGATCTCTCTCACATCTAATATCTGCTGGCCTTTGTCAGAGTCTGTAGGTTCAGGAGAGTCACCTTTTTAGCCCTGTCTTGGTAAGTTGTCATGTATTTGTAGCATTGAATATAGTTTAAATCTTTTTGTTACAAAGCTAAGACCTAATTTAAACCAGAAAGGGTTAAATGCAAAGTGTTAAAGCTTGAAAGAAACTTTCTGTGCCAGTGTCTGCCTCAGGGGAAAATACTTACTAAAATAAAAAAAGATAAAAAATTCTGAAACTCATGCTGGAAAATAGATAAAGTGCTTAAAGTGGCATTTTGTGGTTAAAGCGGATTAGCTGTTGTTTCTAGGGAAAGCTATAGAGCTCTCAAGGATAAAGATGTAAGCTCTGAAAGCATGATGCCTTGATGTCAGTGTTGCTTTTCTCTGAAAGCTGTGCTGTGCTCAGCAGAGATAAAGACAAGTTACCTGTGCGGAGGCTGTACTGGGATGCAGGAGCTGGGTTTGTGTCCAACTGGCTTTGAGTTAAGCAGTTTCCCTCCTGTTCACTGTTTTAAGGCTGTTAGTAAAGGCAGAATGAGTCTGTATAGTCTTGGCCAGCTTCAGGATGTTTGTTTAGGGGAGATGGGAGGCCTTGGTGGGGTTTGGGGTGGTTTGGGTTTTTTTAAATCGTAACACTTTTGCTTTATTTAAAGTGTTTGGAAGATTTAGCATTTTAGTCTTTAAACCTACCTGATGCCTGTATTACATCCTTTATTTTTCAGATGTATATAGCACTGATTTCTCTGCATGCTCTAATCATGGTGGGATTTCACTTCTTGTATTGCTTTGAAGAAGACTGGACAAGTGAGTACTAACAAAACACCTCATTTAAATACCAGATTAGCCGATGAGTAAGACCTTACAATGTAGTTTGCTTGTAAGGCAACCCCTTTTTAAGCTGATTTCAGAAGAATGCTAGGAGGGCTCTGCTATGCAACTTGGTTTATGATCAGTCGTGGAATTTCCTAATTCTTTGTGACATGCTGGGGTGTCTATCCTGAAAAGTCCTGTTTTCACTTAAGCCCAATACTGCCTGGGAAGAAGGTGAGATATAAACACACCTAGATAGTATATAGAATCATAGAATGGTTTGGGCTGGAAAGGACCTTAAGATCATCCAGTTCCAGCCCCCTGCCATGGGCAGGGACACCTTCCACTAGAGCAGGTTGCTCCAAGCCCTGTCCAACCTGGCCTTGAACACTGCCAGGAATGGGGCATTTCCCATTTCTTTGGGCAACCTGTGTCAATTCCTGACAATGTCCAATAATCACCTGTGTCATGAACTCAACACTGATTTCCTGAATGCTAGCACAAGATAAGAAGAATGTGTCTGCTTTTTTACAAGGGGAATGTGAATCATTTTTACAAGACTGCCAGAAAAACATTCTAACTCACATCCAAAAATCCATGCTCGTAAGAACAACAATTCCTTTCCATAAGAAAATGGGGAATTAAAAAAACAAACAAAACAACCCAAACAACTGAATAAAAATGGCACAGACAAACAAAAATCCCAACCCTCTCTCTGGAGCAGCCAGCGAGTAAATGCTCACAAAGCCAGTTAAGATGTGTTTTGAAAAACACAAATGGATGTAGGAAATCATCTAGGTAATGCTGAATCAAACAGGAGGCTGTCCAGGAATATGTGTGCAGCTGTATGTGCTGCTTGTGGATTGTTTTGGGAAAGCATTAGCTTTGTTTTTCTTGGAATTTCAGTCTAATGACTGCTTTTGGTTTATCCTACTGGAGAGGATGGGTACATTTACACACAGGAACTGAATTCGACAAGGTGGTTCTGTAGTTCAGAACTTGGTAAAACAGCTGCCAGCTGTCGCTGAGAACATCTGGATTTGACTACGGTGGCTATAGGGGAAGGATACATCAAAGGATAATTTCCTTTGCCTGCTTTCCCAGAGCTTGTATCTATGAGGGAAGCGCTTTCCCACCTGATCCAAGTTTAGAGGGCAGAACAGAGCTGTTATGAGAGATGGGTTTGCTCTTCCAGCTGCCTTGGATTTGTGTTGGTTATATTGGCCCCTGATTCTGGTGTATCTGTTAAAGGTTAACATGAGGAAAAACAGGGGAGTTTGGTGATACGCATTCACGGATTTGAGAGATGTTCTGACATTTAGAACACTCAGCACAACACTGTGCCCTGTAATGTATTCCTTCCCCTTCCTCTTATCTGTTCCCCTTTCATAGCTGCCTTCTCAGATATTTTTGCAGCTCTTACTTTAGTTTGCACTATAGAGAATGAAGAAAAATAAGAATTTGGCTTAGTCTGCCCTTCTTTAGGCTACAACAGAGCAGTTACAAAAGGAAGCGTGCTCTGGGTTTATGTTGGTGCTAACAGAAATAATTACCCTTGTGTCCTGACCACCAGCTGGAAATTTTTAATGGACTTTATCACCATGGAAAATCCATGAAGATTAAGGTTTTTAAGAGGGAAGCTGCATGTGCAGTGGAGTAGGCTGGAGTCCTGGCAAGTGTGCTGGGGCAAACACTTAAAGGGAAAAGAAGTTGCATTCTTGGAAGTGTTGCAAGGTTGTTTTTTGTTGTTTTTTTCTTTCTAAACTTGCAGGAGTGATGACTTCAGTGTTGAATATCCTGAAGAATATCAGAGCTTCCCCATGCATCTTTCTGAGAGTAGTGGTCATATGATTTATTATGACAGTTTGAGTATGGAGAGCTCCTGGTCTAGCATGTGTTTTGCAGCTGCTGCATTACCTGACCTCTTCCCTTCCAACTCTGTTGCTTTGTCTTCACAGAATGCAGTTCCTTCTCTCCACCAACTACAGTGATTCTTCTCATCCTCTTGTGTTTTGAGGCTCTCCTATTCCTCATCTTCACCTCGGTTATGTTTGGGACCCAAGTACACTCCATCTGCACTGATGAAACGGTGGGTGTCTCACACACTCCTTTATCCTATCTCTCACCATTTGTAGAAACAGTGAAGGGCTAAAACATGTAGATGAGGCCCTCAGTGGCATGGTTTAATGGTGGACTTGGCAGTGCTGAGGAATGGTTGGACTTGATGATCTTAAAGGTCTTTTCCAACATGAATGATTTTATGATTCTACTTTGTTGAACAAGGAGTTAATGTATGTGTACCCTTTGAGGAAAGATCCAGTGTAATAAACTGAGCTGACATAGTGCTGGATCATGCTCTGTAAAGGTTGCTGTGAGAAGCAGTGTACACCTGTGTACTAGCTGGGATGCTGTGTTGACAGTACCTCTGACAAGGCCAGCACTGGTAGCTGGGATTACTCTGTAGGTAGTATTTGTCCCTGTGGATTCAAGAACCTTTTTCCTTTAATTACATTCTTTTCCATTGGTGGTGTCTGAAATTCAGATGTTTCCCCTGGTGTCACTATTTACAGCTTTATGTGCTGGAAAGCCAAGATAAGTAGGTGGGAGAGGGAGATATATATATGTGTATGTGTGTGTGTATATATATATATATATATACACACACATATACGCACGCACACACCCCCATACACACACTTCTTTTGGTCCAGAAGAGTACCATTTCTTTCCATATTAAGCAGTTGAAAAACACTTACCAGAGTGAAGAAGAAAGGGAGTGGAGTAGGCTCATGGAAGCCTGGTGGGTACAGCCTGCTGTCATTCCCAGTCCAAAGATGGCACAGTAGAGGTTACATCGCAGTGTTGCGGTCCATTGTATATCCCTGCATTTTCCCACTTCCTTAAAGATGGAGCTGGTGACTCCTGGGGATGTGCCCACTCTTGTGGATACTGCCAGCCTTCACCAAGCATGCTCAGACACCTGCAGAGGTTGAAGAGAAGTGGTAGTCTGAGAAGAATGACAACTCTTCCTCCCCTGCCTCCTTCAGTTTTCTTTCCCCTTCACTTGACTGCCCATGGCCAGTTGAAGCTAGAATAGGTATATTTGCTGCCAGTGGAGAGATATGACTGGCGTTATAGACTGTAGGAACCCATCACTCCCAAGTCATTTTGCAGTGCTTTTCTTAATGCTTGGCTTCTGCAAGAGGCTGATGTTCACACTGTGGCTTTTGTGTGTTCAGAGGAAGACTTCAGAACAAGCAAGACTTGTTCTTTCTGCTGGGGAGAGCCCCAGGAAGAAGTATAGTGTCATACAGAGCAACAAGATCCAAGCTTGAGTTTATCAGTAAGTGTGTAAATTAGCAATGCTGCCTGTGAAATCATCATTGGAATTTCTCAGTCTTTGAAACCTCTTGAGAACTTTCAGAAGCTGCTTCCTACAGCTGGGCAGTAAGTCCCCTGATGTTCACCTTCCCCTCAAATTCTGGAACTCACAGATGTTAAAGGAACACCACCACATTCTAAAATAAAAATGAAATATGGTCTGCCCCTGTTGGGTTGTGGGGTTTCATTTTTGGTTTCAATATGTACCAGTGATCTTGCTCTGTGGAACGCGTTATTGTTGATTTGCTAGCATTGAGCTAGCTATGTCTGGCAAGCAATCAGTTTTAAGCAGAGGAATATTTCCAGGTGAAATTCTTTTTGGTGTGGTCTGTTGCAGTGTTTTAGCTCACATTTTAGAGCCAGTGCTGTCTTCCTCACCTTTATTTTCCCCATCTTATGTATGCTTTCCCACAGGGATGGTTCCTTTCTGCCCAAAAGGACCCAGAACCACATATTTTCCTGCTTTCTCTAGAGGTGACACTTACCAGGGATCAGCACAACTTGCAGATGACCCATGTTGTGTTCTGCAGAGCTCCCAGAATCAGTAATTTGAGACACACAGATGTATTACAGTGCATTAATCTGTAGCAGGGGAGAGACATGTAGGTCAGGAGAAGCTTACCTTGCAAAAGATCTGCAGTTAAGGAACAGTGATCTGCCTGCTGCTGCTCTCTGTGGAAGAGTAATGCTCTTCAGTGACTGCATTCATTCTGCTTCTGTGGCAGCCAGGCATAGCTTCTCTGAAAGACCAAACTCACTTAGGGTTTTTAGACACAATACAGGTAACTCTTGTATTTTCTTAGTGATTGATTAGGGAATGTTTCAGCTGGCTGCTTCACAGTTTGCTTTTGTTCTCCCTCTAACCTTTACTAAACAATGCCAATGGTTTCTCTCAAATCAGTATCTTATTTAACCTCTTCTCCCGGCTCTCAGCCCGTGCATGTTTTAGCAGTGGCTCTAATGAAACATTAAGAGGCATCAGGTAGACTCGGCTACACTGAGCCATGGGCACTTCCTGAACTTGCTTGGTGAATCTGGGAGTGTTACAGAGATTGTCTTTGGGGTTTTTCTTTTTGTCTGCAAGCTTACAGTGGTTTTCTCTCAAACTTTTTCATCTGGTTAGTACACAATGTTCAGCCATTAAAGCGCATCCTTTTTGGTTGAGTTTAGGTGGTGGGGTCTTTTAAATTGACATGAGGGGCAATTGGATGGCAGGTCTTGAAAGGTTTATGAAATAGCTAAGCCTGAACAAGATGGAAGTAATTTTATTTCTGAGGAATACTTTCAATCCTTACTATTTTTTTAGTATAAAACAATGAGAAGAAAAGGAAAGGCAGGATAGATGCCTTATTTTACTTACTCCAGCCTTTGGATAAGGGGTAACTGAGAGTAGACCTTTCCCCAAATCCAGAACTACCAAAATCTGAGTGTTTGACTGAAAATGTGATATTTCTGTTTTCAGGGAATAGAACAGTTGAAAAAGGAAGAGAGAAGATGGGCTAAAAAAACAAAATGGATGAACATGAAAGCAGTATTTGGCCATCCGTTCTCTATAGCATGGCTTAGCCCATTCGCAACACCAGACCAAGGAAAAGCAGACCCGTACCAGTATGTGGTCTGAGGAATTCCTGACCAGCATTTCCACTAAAATAGAAACATATTACAGCACTACTGCTACAAATTTTCCATGAATGTTTCAAACAAAAAGCAAAACAAACTTTTTTATGTCTATTCAATGGCTGATAATTGCAGAGTCAAAAAAAAAAGGCCCTGTATTTCACAATATCAATTCGAGATCTCTGGCTGAAAGTGCTGCTGCTTTTCTTATCCACCCTACCCCACCCCCCTTTTTCTCTTTTTTTTTTTTCTTTTTTCTTTTTTTATATTTTAATTTTGTTAACTTCCCTGGCATTTGTTTCTCTCTGTTTTCTGTATGGCATAACTAATGTGAAGGGGATCCTCTTTCTCTGTTGTGCCCCACCTCTTCTGAGTGGATTCTCATGCTGTCCTCCTGACTGTGATGAGCTCTTTGGAAGACATATGAGTGCCAACAGCCCTTCACAGACACCTTTGGACTTCCTGAAGGAGCACATTGCTCTTTCATAAGTGAACTTGATCGGGGCAGCAGACACTTCACTTACCAAAAGGTGCAAGACAAGAACACAGCACTGCAAGAGGGCCAGTTGACCTGGTGATCACATACAGTACTTATATGTTGCCAACACCAATTCCCACCCCACCCTCCTTTTTCCTTCCAGGCACAGAACTGATTCCATCTTTCTGCATTGTTTTGTCTGTTCCCTCCCTGGTGTGCAGGAAATTGTTGCCCTCTTAGGATAATGTTTGGCAGATTTAGAAGACTCTTTGGATTATTAAATGCCTTACACTTTGCAGGAAAGAAAGAAATCTAATTTCCAAGTGTTTAGAATAGCAGAATCATCTTGTTTGTGTGTGTTTGTCTTGGTAATGACTTGTTAGAGCAATGCCTGCTAAACAGTGTTAATGTGAAAAACTGACCTGAATGCCCAGATTACTGTAAAGACTGATATTGATGGGATGTGTAGGTGTACCGGGGTGATGGATTCTATATTCTCAGCGTTGCCCTGGTTTAGAGCTTTGTAAATCTTCCCTCATACTTGTGCATACATGTGTAGGTGTGTAAACACACATGTATGTGTGAGTGTTTTAAATTGGGAAATAGTTATGGTAAGGAGCATGCATACCCTTATGAGCTGTGTGGTGATGGAAGTGGGAGGGACAGAAGGCATTCCAAAACCAGGTAGAACTAACCCATTCTTAACTACAACTGACAGTTTGTGTTCAGGCAGGAGCTTTGTTATATTTTTGGATCATGATTCCTGTGGGCTCATCAAATGAATTGCAAACAAAAGAAAAATACAACTCAGCTGTGTCCATGACTTCCAAGGAATCTTTGCTTTCCTTGGTTTAAGATGAAATGGGATCCTTTTTTGTTTAGATTGCTTCAAAGCCATGGGGGAAGGGAGGGAAATCAGGGAAGGAGAAACCGAATGGATGTCTCATTTTGGAAGTAATGTGAATGCTGCATCTTTTCAATCTGTCAATGCTTCCATATGGAAAACAAATGCAATAAAACTTTTCCAAAAACTTGTTTGCTTGTTCTTTTTCTTCACTTCAAATGCTGGCAAAAGTCTGTCGTGATTTTCTGAGCTTTCGCTTCTGTACACAAGCAGGCACATAAAGGTTAACTGAGTAGTCAACTTTTATGTTTAAAAATGGGTTAATCACTAGTACATTGATCTGTTAATCGGTGGGTTTATTTCAGCACTTGGAAGAGGCTTGTTAGTAGCTGCTCTGCTGTGTAAGAGGACTGTTTCTACAGTCCTGCTTGCTCAGGGTAGGACATCAGGAGTAGGTTGTCATGTCTGCTGCAGGCCTGCATAGAAGGAACCACAGGCTGCACTTGCACCTTGGTGGGAAGAGCCACGTGAAGGAAATGCGGCTTTTCATACATGTTCCCTTCACAAAGAGAAGTTCAGGAAGAGTTTAGGTTTAACCTTGTCGACTGAAAGACATGCAGGTGGCAACTTGAACCGGTAGAGCGTCCAGCCCTAAAGCTGCCTTGACGCAAAATCAAGGCTTTAGTCACCCAGGCCATTACAAGTGAATGCATCTCTGTACAGATCATTGCTTTAAAACTTGTTTTGATTATGAATTCCACTGGTGCACATTCCAGTTTTGGTTTATTTTAATCACCCTTATTCACTGTGTAGTCCGGAGGAAGGTTGGTTGTTCTAGCATCTTGACTGTTGTGAGAAAGTATGTAATTACTCAGTTTTTCTTGCTTCAAACAGCTGCATTCTTAAACAGCATTATATAGTATGGATATTTTCAGTCAAACTGCTTTCATTTTAAGTGAAATATCATCCCAGCTTGCAGAAATGTCCATTGGTATCTGGTGCATGTGTGTAACTGGGGGTCCTCAGTTTTACTTGCGCTGTATGACTTGATGGTACAATTTGATGGAATTTGAATGATACTAAGCGCAGGTATTACTATGAGCAAGGCAGACTTATCCATCTGCTCATGGAAAGCTTTTCTTTGGGGAGGGCTCCCTAATTTCAGGTGCTAGTTCTGATTTAACATGGCCAAAAATGGAAGGACAAACTCAATCAGAGGCGAGGTACTTCATTTGCAAAGCTAAATGATGCTTCAAGCAGAAAAGAGCGTAGGGAGCTGCTGTAGGAAAAGTCTGCCTTAACCATGATTCCTGCTTGCAATGCTTCTTTGTGTCTTCCCCTTAACAGACAAATTGTTACTGTGCTTTGCCTTTTCTCTTTGCTCTTTCCTGTTGGTTTTTCTCTTAAAACAAACTAACACATCTCTTCTAACACCAAGAGCTGTTCTGCAGATCGCTTCGGGGCAGGCCACGCAGCCCAGCTTCCTCCTCTGGCACTGCAGGAGCTGATACAGAGGGCAGTAGTGGGAGAAACAGGGTATATCCGACAGCATCACAGTGGTAACAGGTCAGCCTTGTCCTACTGTCCCCGTGGTTGCAATGATGTGTCTCTTACTGAAATGGGAGCGTTTAGTATTTTATATTTCTTGATGTATGTCTTCTCTTTTCAGTATTTGCTCAAAAATACATAATTGGGAAGAGTGAAAGATGACAGGACAAGGGGTGATGGGCACAAACTGAAACAGGGGAAGTTCAGGTTGGATATAAGGAAATTCTTCCCTGTGAGGGTGCTGAGGCGCTGGCACAGGGTGCCCAGAGAAGCTGTGGCTGCCCCATCCCTGGCAGTGTTCAAGTCCAGGTTGGACACAGGGGCTTGGAGCAAGCTGCTCTAGTGTGAGGTGTCCCTGCCCATGGCAGGGGTTGGAACTGGGTGATCTTAAGGTCCTTTCCAACCCAAACCAGTCTGGGATTCTGTGATTTCTGAGCTCTGGGGTTTTTAAATGCAAAGCTGCATGATGGAAAGCAGAAACAGGTGTTGCTTTCATTTGAAATACAAAATTCTCACTTTCTAAAATCATGGTGAGAGATTTTGGGTAAATGTATTTAAAAAAAAGCAAAAAGGCTTTCATTAAACAGTCACAAAATGCCTGCAGCAGTTGTGCCTTCCTTCCACCCCCCTTTGATTTATATTTAAGGCAAAACCTCACGCCCTACTGACCGTGGGGCAAGCAGCCAAAACTAGATCAGGATGCAACTTTGAATACTTCTGCTTGGTTTTCATACGTGCTGTGAAGGGATTAGTGAGGTCAGGCTGGGAGAGAGAAAGTATGTCCCTGCCTAATCCGGCATTAGTACAACCTCAGTCTGACCTTGCCTTGGTTAGTAAATGCTCTTCGGAGCAGGTGAATGATGGTTGTTTTGGGAGGGAAGAACGGGATTGCTGCCCAGAAGTCCTTAAAATCCTTATTCCCAATCTAGGCACCAGCGTGGATTGAAATGGGTTACACACATGACTGACAGCAGAGTTAAAGCTTGTGCTGCTGGGGAAAGGGTTGAAGTGTGTGGTGTCTGTTTCTCCTCCTGCCCTGTGCTGCTTGTTTTCCTTCTCTCTAGATACTCACACCACAAACGCTGCAGCCGCCGTGCCGGGTTGTTACTAACGCGTTAGAAACCTCTGCAGTTCGCTAAGGAACAGCTGACAGCCAAAGGTGGTCTCCTGCTTCGAGCTGCAAAAGCATCTCCCTCCTGGTTGCAAAGCTGCAGGGTGCTGGAGGCGGAGTATCCTGAAGGGAAAACACATGGTAGTGCTAAAACACTTTGTCAAGGCTCTGCTGTGCTGGGCACCAAGCATTGCAACCCAAGGGGACAGAGGCTGCAAGAGATGTGCCCAGTGGAACCTGCGCATTTGGGAGCTTGGGAGCAGAGCCAAGGGATGCGTGCCTGTGCTTGGCAGTGCAAGATGCATGTTTGTCCTTTGGGAGTGGGATTTCTCCTGCAACTCCGAAGGCTTCAGTTTTGGTCTTGCCACATTTATTTCTGCAGGTTCACAGCTGGATTTCATGGGATGATGGATGCAAACTGAAACAGGGGAAGTTCAGTTTGGATCTAAGGCAGAAGTTCTTCCCTGTGAGGGTGCTGAGGCGCTGGCACAGGGTGCCCAGAGAAGCTGTGGCTGCCCCATCCCTGGCAGTGTTCAAGGCCAGGTTGGACACAGGGGCTTGGAGCAAGCTGCTCTAGTGTGAGGTGTCCCTGCCCATGGCAGGGGTTGGAACTGGGTGAGCTTTAAGTTCCTTTCCAACCCAAACCAGTTCATGATTCTACAATTTCTCCTAAGTCAGCACAAGAAACGGGGCATGAATGAAGCTCACAAAGGCTTTGCATGCAAGTCTTAGTTTGATGCTGTGTTTTCTCCCAGGGCTGCTCATGCTGACTCCCTGTTTTTGCAAACCCAAGCTGCTGCTCTATTGAAATGTGTCATTTCTAAGGCCTGCTGTGATGCCACTGAGCTGCTGCATGTATTCATTTCCCATCTCTGTGAAGCTTTGGAATGATGTGGGTTGTTAGGGAAAATAGGCAGAAATAGAACATGGGAAGTGTAATTTTCATCCAGCTCTTCTAAAACTGCTCCTTTAAATGGTTTTAACTGAATTTCCTCATTTTTAACTTTCTCTGAGTGTCTCAAGACTTGGATCCAGTGTTCTTGCTTCTCTAAGAACAGTGTTTCTATGTGATCATTTGCATATCATCATG